TCAGTCTGTTGGAGGAAGTGTTCTTCTTTGCAAATCTTTTGGCCAACATTGCCATCTTCTTCTGTAAGTCTGCTAGTTCAGCCTCTAGATCAGATTTGTCATCGTCACTCTCATCATCATCTGATTCAACCACCACCTTCTTCTTTTTCTTCTTTAGTGAAGTGGTTGTCCTTCTAGGCTGAGCATCCATTACAAGAGCTAAGGGGTTTGTGGTGTGATGATCCTCAGCGCATGCAACCTCGTTGACGAATTGCTTCAGATGTTCATAGAGTGTGCAGAGGTCAATTTCGTCCAGATCTATCCGTGATCTGACATCCTTCACTGTCTTTTCCCAAGCAGGGTGCAGGCTGGATAAGAATCTAATATTTAGTTCCAGATTGGACCTGAATACTTTGATCTTTCTGAGTTCATTTACCAGTTGAACAAGTCTATTGTAAGTCTCATTCAATGGTTCTCCTGGTCCTGCTTTGAAGGAGTCATAAGCGATGAGAATTGTAGTCTTCTTTGTTTTGAGGCTGATGCTTGTGCCTTGTAGCAGCTTCTCTATTTCATCCCACATCTCCTTAGCTGTCTGCATGCTATCTATGAGAACATAAACCTCGTTCGGTATTGCTTGAAGGAGATACGTTTTGGCCATAAGATCACCACGAAGTCTGAGCTTGTCGGCTTCTGTGTATTCAGATGGCACTTTTCTCCTTATTTCTGGAAAAATAGGAGGATTGTTCTCTGGATCTCTACCAACTGAAATTAAAAGTTCAGCTGGTCCTTCAAGTAAGGATTCGAGCATTGCAGAAGAGTTCTCTTTGTGCTCGAGGAAGTTTAAAAATCTGTTCCTCCACATTTGATATTCTCCCTTCCTGAGGCTAGGAGGGGTACTGCTGTTCCCTTGTGCATTGTATTCTGAACCCATTGCTGTACTAAACTGACCGTTCGAGAAAATTGATCAAAAGATTTCCAGAGGCAGAATCTCGAAAAAATCAGATGTCGAGATCTGAATATCGAAATCTCAGATTTCGATAAAGGAGGCCCGGTATCGAGATTTGGGCTCGAGATTAAGGATCTCGAGATTTGGGATCTCGAGATTTCAAATTTCGAGATGCTGATCTCGAGATTTGAAATGTCGAGAAGTTAATCTCTCGAAATCTTAATCTGATGAGTCAAATGTCGAGACCAGATGTCGAAACCTTTTCTCGAAATCAAGATTTCGAAATCCAAGATGTCGAAATCCTCAATGTCGAAATCTTTCAACCTGTAAAAATCAGATAATCAAAATCTGAAGATAGTTTCCTGTAGAGTTGAATGTCGAGATCTTCTGGTAAAGTTTTCAGCTCGAAAAACGAAGCAGAACCTGTGAAGAAATAGGATGACGAGATGCCTAGCTCGAGATATCTCGAAATCAAAAATTGCGTAAAACACAAACTGAAGTATACCCTTTGATCGCTTTGAAAAGGCGATTCCAAAGGTGTAACTTTTACAACTTTTGAACAAAAAACAGAATTACAGAGTAAAAAATCGACAGAATGAACTACGTTAACAAAAACAGAGTATTCTGCAGGAGTTCTTCTGATCGTTCTCGATCGGCTCTGATACCAATTGTTAGTCCCTGTTTCTTTAACAGCAATGAATAATCGATCTAACAAAGGAAGATTTAAACGTAAAGATGAACACAGAATGAATCACCGTAAAACCTTCTTTGATAAACCGTGGAACGTACAGCAGAATGATATAAGCGTAAGGCTATGAATAATAAGTACGACGTTCAACCTTTTCCTAAACCTCGGCTCCCTTTTTATAGGCGAGGTTTAGGTTAGGCGAAACAGGCTTTTGGCCTGTTTAAATGGGCCTAACACTTGGCCTGATTTCTATCTAATTTATGCACTATTTAAATACAAGGATTAAATATAAAGCTAATCTATGACCAACTTGATTCACAATAAAATATCTCCAACAGAAATTAACTAATTAATAAGTTAAATTAGTTAATTATTGTTAATGGGATGCATAATATATATAGCTAGGGTTGAAACTTTATTTTTATTTAGTTTAGTGTGAATTATTATTGTGAATTATTTTTGTGAATTCACAATAATAATTCACAATATTAGTTAAATGGAAATTAACTAATTAATTAAGTTAAAACATTGAGGAAATGGGTTTAGAATTTGATGAGTTGATAATATTAGTTAGATTTAAATATTAGTCAATTGATCAATGATGATGATTAGGTTTAATTTGTTTATTAATTAGTTAATTATTGTTAATGCATAATTTAGGATTTGTAGTGATTTAAGTTAGGATTCAAACTTTATTAGTTAAGTGTGAATTATATATTATTGTGAATTAATGCCATTAACATATTACTATTAGTTAAATATTAGTAAATTAACGCTTTTAGTTAATGTCACAAATTAAAGTTGGTTAATTCAAATTATTAATGCCACAAATTAAATAATGTACTGCTCTTAGTTAATTAATAATATTAATGTACTTATATATTATTTTGATTATAATATATGTACAGGCATAATGTATAGACAAAACAGAAGTTGGATGTACCAAAAACATCGCGATAACTATGGAATACGCAGTGAATTTTTGAATGGTGTTGAAGATTTTATTAAATTTGCACAAGAACAGAAGAATTATATGGATGGAGATAAAATCAGATGTCCATGTACAAAGTGTAAAAATCTTCAATTTAAAGATGTCGACCAAGTTGTGTGGGATTTGTACGAAAAAGGTTTCGTTGCCAATTATTATAATTGGACTTCTCATGGCGATCCTTTCGATCCATCACTTTTACCACAAACAGTAGGTTCATCTCGTAACGTCCCTACCGAGATGAGTGGATGGGGAGACTATGATCAAATGACGTGGGATCAAAGAATGGCATATGATGTATACGGTGCTTCAACGATGCAGTTTAACCCACCACATCCATTTAACGATCTTCCCGAAGCTTCGACCTCGTATCAACCCGATGCGGATGAAGATCAGACCTTTTATCAGTCTGCTGCGGATGAGTATCCGAATTCTCATGTTCCTCATATTGAAGACTTAGCTGAAAGATTTCAAGATGTTTTAAAAGCTGCTGATCAGCCTCTGTATGCTGATTGTGAGGGATACTCTCAGCTATCCGCCGTTACAGAGTTGATGAACATTAAATCTGAATACAATCTTCCTGAATCTTGCATGTCTAGGTTATTGCAGTCATTTGGAGGAATGTTACCGCGTGACCATAATCTTCCTGATTCATATTACAAAATGAAACAATTAATGTCTCAGTTGGGGCTTCCTTGTATAGAAATCGATGCGTGCCCAGAAGGATGTATGTTGTTCTGGAAGGATGATGTGGCACTTGAGACCTGCAAGTTCTGTGGTGGAGAGAGATACAATCCTGTTCCTCATAGACGAAAAAAACCACGAAAAAGGTCTGCATTGTCTAAATTGTTTTACCTCCCTCTAGCTCCACGCCTGCAGAGGATGTATGCTTCAAATGCTACTGCGAAACACATGACGTGGCATGTTGAGCACGAAACCAAAGAGGGTTTGATGTCTCACCCTTCCGACTGTGAAGCTTGGAGACACTTTGACCGTTGTCATCCTCAGTTTGCAATGGAGCCACGGAATGTGCGACTGGGATTGTGTTCAGACGGATTTGCTGCTTTTGGAAAGTTTGGGAAGAAATTTTCATGTTGGCCAGTCATGTTAACTCCTTATAATCTTCCTCCCGACATGTGCATGAAAAGTCATTTCATCTTTTTAACTTGAATTTGTCCAGGTCCCTCGGATCCTAAAAAAAGGATAGACATCTATCTCCAACCCCTGATCGAGGAGATGAAAGAACTTTGGGCCATTGGGACACCAACTTATGATGTTTCGAGAGATCAGATGTTTATCATGAAAGCTGCCATCATTTGGACCATTAGCGACTTCCCTGCTTATGGTATGCTTTCAGGATGGAGCACACACGGTCTTATGGGATGTCCGATATGTATGGATCAATCAGAGGCCAATTGGCTCAAATTTAGCGGGAAACCAAGTTACTTTGATTGTCACCGCAAGTTTCTGCCTATGAACCATCGATATCGAAAGGACAAGAAGTCTTTTATTGCCGGAAGAGTGGTACGAGATCCCCCTCCTCCGAGACTTACAGGTGAACAAGTTTTTAACCGGGTTCGACGTTTTCCTACGGCCGTGCAGCAACCCCACGGGGAGCCAAATGGGTATTGTGATACCCATAAGTGGACTAAGAGGAGTATATTTTGGGAGTTGCCGTATTGGAAGGACCTTCTCATTCGTAACAAGTTAGATGTCATGCACGTTGAGAAGAACGTCTTTGACAATATATTTAACACGATTATGGATTTTACCCACAAAACCAAAGATGGTCTTGCATCTAGAAAAGACATGACAATTTGGTGCGACAGAACCGAACTCGCCGTCGATCTAGAATACGTGGGTAAAAAAATTTCAAGAGCAGTCTACCAACTCACAGCCCCACAAAGGGAATCAATATTAGAGTGGCTTGTTTCTCTGAACTTTCCAGATGGCTATTGTTCTAACTTGTCAAGATGCGTGGACCTGGACAAACAAACAATGACGTCGAGCATGAAAACTCATGATGCTCATGTAATCATGCAACGACTTCTGCCGATTGCACTGAAAGAGATGCTTCCTGCAGACGTCTGGGGCTGTATTACCGAAATCAGTCAATTGTTTCAGTCGATATGTTCCGCCGTTTTGGATGCCGAATCCCTGAGGAGACTAGAAGACACTGTTCCTATTCTGATGTGTAATCTGGAAAAGATACTGCCCCCATCATTTTTTGATGTAATGGAACATCTTCTAATACATCTTCCGTATGAGGCTTTGAATGGAGGGTCCGTCTTCTATCGTTGGATGTACAGATTTGAAAGGTTAGTCATAATTTCATTTATAAACGATGATTTGTTTAATAAGAACATTTGTTTGTTTACAAATTTTATTTTGCATGACAGATTTCTGGGAGATTTGAAAAAGAAAGCGACCAACAAGGCACACATTGAGGCTTCAATTTGTCAAGCATATATTCAACAAGAAACCTCAACGTTTTCATCTTTTTATTTTGAGCGTGAAGTAATCAGTAAAAGAAAGAGACCTGCTCGGAACGATGACATTGGCGAGGATTCATATGATAAAGTAGTTTCTATTTTCAACTACCCAGGTAGAGGTAAAGGAGATGCGACTTACCGTTACATCGTGGGCGGAGAAATGAAAATTGCACATACTTACATCCTCATGAATTGTCCAGAAATCTTACCATTTTATAAGTAAGTTGAATTGGTAGTTACATTTGTAATATAGCTACTATTTTTTTAATAATTAGAGTGTTATAATAATATCTTTATGTTCAATTCACAATGAATTTAGAGCGTCTTTATCAGCATTTCCTGATGATGCAATTGATGCAATTGTGGACTCTGACTTTGCATTATGGTACCAACAGCAGGTATTATATATATATATAAATACATTATATATACTAGTAGCTAGTAATTTTTAATCATTACCTAATGTTATCATGTTTTAATTTGCAGATCAGGTACCGTGGGATTAACGACCCTCTGTTAGTATCATTATCGTGGGGCCCTTCTTCCTATGCAAAGGTTTGGCATTCATATGTGATAAACGGTTATACGTATCACACAGTTGAATATGGAGAAGGTCGACCAACAATGAACAGCGGGTTATGTGTCCCGACCATCGGTTCTGATAACTCGGAAACCAATTTTTTGGTTTCTTGCATGAGATTCTCGAACTTCAAATGCCTTCTGGTTTGCAAGAATTAACATGCGTGTTGTTTCGCTGCACATGGGTCGACCCTACACGTGGTGTGAGAAAAAATTCAAAGTATAATATAATTGACGTCAACCACTCTCGTGTGTATCAGAAAAATGAGCCATTTATACTCGCTCAACAAGCAGCCCAGGTTTATTATGCAGAGTATCCTTCAACGAGGCGCACACGGAATCCTTGGGTGTGTGCCATTAATATCCGTCCGAGCAAAATTGTAACACAGGCTCAACAAAGGGATATTGACTTTGATGCTTTTCAGCAAGATTTTTTTCACCCTCCGCCTATTGCTGATACGGTCAACCATAACATTCAGTTAAGTGACCCAAATGGCGGAGATGTTGAAGTTATGCTTGAAACACACCTTCCGCCCCCTATACCTCAAAATGAGCGCGAAATTGAAGAATTATATATACAACAAACTGCACGATGACCAGGAGGAAGAAGAAGAATGGATATCTGGTGATGAAGATACAGAAGAAGAAGTTGCCTATCAAGAAAATACTTATTCTGATAGCGATTAAATGTATAGTTAACAACCAATGTAATTACTTTTAATTGAACTATTTTAATTTGAATTTTTAACTTTCTTTCGTCATTTTAATATTATTCCAAGATATAATAGTTAGGTATGTAATTCGCAACTATCATTTCTAAACAAAATAATTATTCCATATTATATTGTAAAATAGCGATTAATTAATTAATAAAATTAAGTTTTTAAAATTATTCAATTGAAAATTAGTGGTTCATTATTATCGATTCGGAAATTTAAAATTAATTAGGTAATTTCGAAAATCGAAAATTAAATAATTCGAAATTTAACATTATTTAAAATTCGGAAATTAGTTTTTTAACATTATTTGTTATTAGTTTTTTAACATTACAAAATTTTAATAATTCGAAATTTAATAAACAAGAACATGAATTTATTTATTAAATTTAAAAACTAAGTAGAAAACACACAATTTTTTATCATTTATTACATTCAACAACTCACAATACAGATAAACAAATAAACACAATATTATTCATTAGCGTCAAAACTTTCATCTAGAGGCCTATCAAGTAGCTCGTTAATTCTTTCTGCAGCTTCCGCGTTTATAAGTATCATATACTCCGAACATTGTTCTGCACGTAAAAGTGCCCTACGCAAGTTTTTCCCTCGTGAAACGTTGTATGAGTCTGATTCATAGTCTATAATATCGCCAAAGCTTTCAAGCGGTCTACTCATCAGCTCACGGATGCTTTGAACTGCTTCTGCATTTCGAGGCTTCATCAACTGTGTAACTTGTTTTAATCTTTGTACACTTCTACTGATCAACTTCCACACATCTGGTTCTGGATTAGCCATTTTTTCGCACTGAAAAATGGGACTCTAAGCACATATTTATACTTAAATTTGTCACGGATAGGTCCGTGACAATTAAAGTAGCTGACGCCTCGTCTGATTAAGGCTGAAAAAGCTTTAATATTCCCTGCACCGGTTTGTCACGGATCCATCCGTGACAAATCCGTGACAAAATTCAAAATTTTGAAATTTGTCACGGATTTGTCACGGATGGATCCGTGACAAACCGGTCAACCTGCCGTTCTGCCGCCTCGTCTGCCGTCCCCTGCCGCCTCGACTGCTGTTCCGCAGTTTACAAGTTCCGATGCCTTTGTCACGGATTAATCCGTGACAAATTCAAATTTAAAAATCCGTAATTAATTTCTCACGGGCTTTGTCATGGACGGGTCCGTGACAACCCCTAATATATAAACGACACTTAGCCATTTTTTTCTCTTACGCTTCCCAATTCCTTCAGCAAACCCTAAATCACCCAGCGCCTCCTCTCTACTCCCCTACGCCTTCCGACACCCGCCGACCGCCACCCTCCCAAACGCCTCCCACTCCGCCGCCCTGCTGCCTCTCTTACACCCGCCGACCGCCACACTCCCAAACGCCTCCCACTCCGCCGCCCTTCTGCCTCTCTTACACCTGCCGACCGCCACCGCACACATCTCACCGGCCACCGCAGATTATCTCCACCCCTGCCGCCGTTCTTCGAAGCCGGCCTTCTCTTCTTTCCCTTTCATTTCTTGCCTTCTTCTCCGAGGTTATGTTTCTAACTCTTTAATTTCTGAATATTTTAGAATAAATGTTTTAAAATGCCAAAAATAAAATGCATGTTTTTCTTAATATTCTTTAATTGTTTAATTTAATGTGTATATGTTAATAAGTTATCATGCATTGAATATGTGTATATGTTTAATGTTTACATGTTTCCGAATATTCATATGCATGCTCGAAATTTTATGGTATGTTTTTAATTATTTAATGCATGTTTTTCTTAATATACATGCATGTTTATATGTTTTTCATAATATTCATATGCATGCTCGTAAATTTAATTATTTAATGCATGTTTTTCTTAATATTGTTTTAATGTTTATATGTTTCCGAATATTCATATGCATGCTCATAATTTTATTGCATGTTTTTAATTATAGTCGGATTACACGGATATAATGCATGTTTTCCGAATATTCATATCTGAATAGTCGTAATTTCCATATAAGGCATGTTTTTCTTAATATTCATGCATGTTTAAATGTTCTTCTTCATATTCATATGCATGCTCGTAAATTTAATTATTTAATGCATGTTTTTCTTTATATTGTTTTAATGTTTATATGTTTCCGCATATTCATATGCATGCTCGTGATTTTATTGTTTCTAGCTATATTCATATGCATTCTCTTAATTTAAAAATGCCTGCTTTAGATTTAACGTTTCATAATATGTGTATCATTTGTTTATATGCTTTAAATATGCCTTAGATATTGTTAATTTAAAAATGCCTGCTTTAGAATAGTTAATTATTAAATTTTTAGTCAAGGTTATTTTGAGTTTTTGTTAATTTCGGATATTTATTAAGAATAATAATTTCAACTCCATTAATTTTCGCCCCCTTACACTTTCAAAAAAGTTAACATGTCTAACCCAACAAAATAATGAAACTGTTAATTATTTTTTTTATAATATTTCGGATATTATATTATTTTTTTAATATTATAAAACACTTTAAAAAATTTTGGATCATTTAACTGATTTTTAAATAATTTCGGATATTATAATATTTAATTTTAAATAAAACGTTGTTTCATAAATAACATAAAACAGAAATGAAGTAAAAAAATGTATTTTATATATTAAAATAGAAATAAAAAACCAAACAAACTGTTTTGGTTTATATAATACGAAAATGATTTCATATGTTTCATGAAAAATTGATTTTATGGGTTTCATGAATAAACAAAAAATGAAACTAATTTTTAATTTTTTTTGAAAAAATTGATTTTATAGATTTTAAAAATCAGGTCACTGTTTTTTATAAATTAATACCATACACAATTAAATTCAATAACATAAAAATCATACAAAAAACTCATTCTACCCCTCATATTAAACTCAAGTTTAATATGTTCTATATTTCAAAGATTGATAAATACGTAACACAATTAAATTCAATAACATAAAAATCATACAAAAAACTCATTCTACCCCTCATATTAAACTCAAGTTTAATATGTTCTATATTTCAAAGTTTGATGAATAAATAGGAAACTAATAAGTTTAAACCATTATACCACACAAAAACTTCATAAACTGATTTTAGAAAACTGTTTTTTATAAATAATATCAAATACAAGATGTAATAAATTGTATTTTTCTAAATTAATGCAAAAAACTGATTTCCGATCATTTATAATTTAATAGGGTAAAACTGATTTTATTAGTTTAAATTAAAAAGTTTGATCAATTGATTTTATATAAGGTTTCATAAAAAATATACACAACACAAGTTACCTCCATAACATAAAAATCATCGACCCCTCATATTAAACTCAAGTTTAATATGTTATATTTATCAAAGTTTCATACCACACAAAAACACCATAAAATAATACCTAACATCATTAAATTCAATAACATAAAAATCATACAAAAAACACATTCTACCCCTCATATTAAACTCAAGTTTAATGTGTTCTATATTTCAAAGTTTGATGACCAAATAGGGAAACTCATTAAGTTTAAAATATCATACCACACAAAAACTCCATAAACTGATTTTATAAGGTTTGATAAAATAATATCTAACACAATTAAATTCCATAACATAAAAATAATATCATTTGACCTCTCATATTAAACACAAGTTTAATATGTTCTATATATTATTTCTCAATAATTTTAGATGAGTGAGCACGAACGCCGCCTTTCTACCATTGCTCGTCGTGGGCGTCAGAATTCACGACGGGCCTCAAACGCTGATCGTGATATCAATGATGATATCAATCCCGATGAAGGACAAGCTCTTGACGGACATGTCCAAACTCCTCCCTCCGAACAATCAGACGCTCATATAAGCGTGCATGGGGAGGGGGCATCATCTCATGCACCTCCTTCATCTCGTGCAATATATGCCCCCCCACTCAAGAAGAGCGCCACAATCCCGGTTCGCTTGAGGTGACACCTCAATCGATCCATAGGTAATAAAAAACTAACATTCTCTAATATAAAATAGTATAATCTCTATATCTAAGAATTAATACAATTGTTTTATCAATTATCAATTTTTTGAAGCGATTCCGAGGTCTTGAATAGAATCAAGACTATTGTTTGTGGTCATTTCACCGGGCCGTGGTCGACTTATGGTGAGGTTCCGGCGGTCACTCGTGAACTATGGTGGCGGTTGTTCAAGGTAAAAATAAATATTTTTGTTACATTTTAGTAACTTAAATTTAAGAAATGATGATATATCAATGTTTTTCATGAAGGCTTCCCATCGTTGGCATTTTTCCCTAGACCAAGCTATTCTCAAAGAATACAATTCTAGGATTTCTGGGTGATTGAGACCCACTTTTAGGACCGCCCGGTCTACGGGTAAAAAGCCAAAATTCCTTGGCGATGATGTGTGGGAGATGCTTTGCCGCCACTGGGCTACGGATGCCTCATTTTTGCTGAGAAGCGAAATGGGCAAGGCAAACCGGAATTCCGAGAAAGCCAAGGAAGTTCAATGGCACGGGGGCCGCAAACCCCAAAGTCAACATAAAAAAGATCTGGTAAACTCTAATTAGTTAAAATTATTTCCATTCCATACCTTTATGTATATATTTTTTTTTATTAACTTTGAAATCCGTGTAGGAAGGATCTGGACCCGTGAAAAAACGGATCACGCCATTGAAACTCATGGCACATTGCTGGACTAAGAAGGGTGCCATGCCGCCTCCCCGCCTTTCTGATATTGAAGTAAATAATGAAACATAATTCAATAAATTTCGATTTTTTTTTATCTCTTATATA